GCTGGTAAAAATGGAAACTAGTACAACCACTATGGAAAGCAGTGTGGAGATTCCTTAAAAAACTAAAAGTAGAACCACCATTCAATCCAGCAATCTCACTACTGGGTATCTACTCAGAGGAAAAGAAGACATTATACAAAAAAGACACTTGCACATGTATGTTTGCAGCAGCACAATTTGCAATTATAAAAATGTGGAACCAGCCCAAATGCCCATCAATCAACAAGTGAATTAAGAAATACCACTCAGTCGTAATAAGGAATAAATTAATGGCATTCCCAGCAACCCAGATGGAATTGGAGACTATTATACTAAGTGAAGTAACTCAGGAATGGAAAACTAAAGATCATATGCTCTCATTCATACGTAGGAGCTAAGCTATGAGGATGCAAAGGCATAAGAATGATACAATGGACTTTGGGGACACAAGGAAAAGGGTGGGAAGGGGGTGAGGGATAAAAGATTACAAATTGGGTTCAGTGGATACTGCTCAAGTGACGGGTACACCAAAATCTCACAAATCACCACTAAATAATTTACTCATGTAACCAAATACCACCTGTTTTCCCCAAAACCTATGGAAATAAAAGTAAATAAATAAATAAATAAACTATGGCATTCTTCCCAGCAAATATCAAATAAAATGAAAACTCAAGTTTACATTTTCCTCTCTCCTTTTTGGCAGGACAAATTTTAGATATGTTTTTAAATAATAACTTTTTTCTTTTTCTGAGACAGGATCGATCTCCCTTTGTTACCCAAGCTGGAGTGCAGTGGTGCAGTTATAGTTAACTACAGCCTCAAACTCCTGAGCTCAAGTGATCCTCTGTCTCAGCCCCATGAGTAGGTAAAACTAAAGGCACATGCCACCATGCCTGGCTAATTTGTTATTTAACCTTTCTATAGAGATGAGCTCTTGCTATGTTGACCAGGCTTAAAATAAACAAATTTTAATTAATTTAAATATTTCTAACATTTTGGGCATTCATGAATACAGCTCCATCTATTGGGCATTCATGAAAACAGCTCCATCAATGTTGTGAGGTAATGGGATAATATGGCAGTGTAAGTTTGAATAAGAATATTAAACAAGGCCTTAGGAGAAAAGTATAATATGCTTATTACAGATACATCACAAAAAAAATGTCTGAGGTAATACCATTAATTATATTGAAATTAAACTTTGATTCACATGTAAATATAGGTCCTAAATTTGGATTAAATACAATAGATTGACCACAAATGTATTTCCTCTGCCTCTGGAAGTCTCGTTAGTCATATATAAAATACTGGTTACAAATAGGATCAGGAGAGAAGGTTGACAGAGATGATTTTTAATAAATGCTGGGACATAAAAAGCACATAAAGGAGTGGTAAATAACACAGAAGCACAACTTTGGTCCCCACAGAAAGTGACTGGAAGAGAAGCAAGCCAGTTTGTCTTGTAGAACTAAAGGCAGGCTGTGAACTTACCGGCAAATAGAACTTTGGAAAGTAGGGTAAAATGTAAAACAAAAGCCAGCAATGTCAGAAAATTTGTGGTTAAAGCCCCAAGTCCAACTGTCCTCCCATCTGATAAGAAACTTAGATGTGTGTTTTCTGGATATACCAAACCTGAGAATTTCTAGGTTCAGAAATACCAAGACTTAAACCTGAGATGTAAAGAAAACTGTGCACCAAAAATAGAACTCCAACTTGCTTCCCTAACTCTGCTTTTGGAAAGCAAGTAGACATTCTTTTACTTCCCAGGCAGGAAAATTGGGAGATCCTTTCTTAGAAGAAACTGAACTGACTCGAGTAAAGATCCCCAGATAATACACCGAAGTCCCGCAAATGAAAAGCTAGTTTGGCTTCCAAAACCACACACTGAGTGCCACCAGTTAACAGAAGTCCTGCTTCCAAATAAAACCAGGGAACACCACACATTCGAGGGAAGCCTCCAACAAGAGAGATCAAAACAACAGAAAAAAAGGAATTCATAGACAAGTCAAAATTAGGAGCAAAACTTTAAAAGAAAACCTAAAAACACACTGAAAAAGATATACAATTCAATAGAAATATTAGAGTACAAAGTCACAGAAACTGAAAATCGAAGGGGAAAAATTAAAAACCAATGCAGGTATAGTGGCCTAAGCAGCTGAGTGTCTGAATAACAAGACTGTCAGAAAAAAAGGAATAGAGAAAATACAAAAATTCTCAAGAAGAGATAGTCTTCAGACTTAGTAGCCTCAATAAAATGAAAAGATTCCCACCAAGCTGTTATTATGAAATTTCAGAAGCTCAGTGAGCGAGAAGCTTCTAAAAGCTTCCACAGGTACATAAAACCTGGTTATAAATAATATATCTCACAATGGCAATAGAGTCAAGAACAACACTGTAATGCGGGCACAATTGTGAAATATCTTCAGAACCCTAAAGTTTAGATTCAACCTAGAAGTTTACTCTCTATCAAAAAGGAGAGATTCTAAGACTAGCCAGATCCCTAAACATCTCTGGCCAGGAAAATGTGCTCAAGTACAACTAGAGAGGATAACAGGACAGCAGGAAACAGAATCTAGGACTCAGGTGATCCCACACAAGATGGCAGCTATGTGAGATCCCAAAAGACTTTAAGGAGCTAGCACAGAAAAGCAGACATCGAGCATATCTAGGGAAAGCCACTCCATATTGAACTGGGATGACAAAATGTCAAAGAAAGTTGCTCCCACACACACGGCAAAAAAAAAAAAAAAAAAAAGGAACAGATGTGTTTTAGCAGATGGAAAGTATCTTTGAAAGGCATGGGATAAATGCTACAACACCTGGGGGGAAAACAGCTGTCATAAAACAGGCAAATGAATATAGTCAGAAAATTAGCTTCATGCTAAAAAATAATGGATGTGAAAGCAAACAGAGCAGCCAGGGGCTACTTACAGCATTTGGCTGGGTAAAGTAACATAGGCTAGGAAGAAAGAGATGATCCAGAAAAAGTGCAGAAATGCTCAGATTTCAGAACTGTTTCAGAGAAAGAATGAAGGACATATAATGCAGAGGCATAGTGAAAACACCATATGACTTAGCAGTGAATAGAATTTGCATAGTCATAATCATGTAAATATTACTGATTTAATTTAAAAGTGTGCTACAGTTGGAAGAAACAGAGGTAGAAAAATAAGGTCATGGTGTAGTGAGGAAGGTATGCTTTCACCTGCTATGACAAAGTCAATAGTGCTGATAGCTATTCTATTTTTGTTATTTATTATTCTGTATTTGTTATTTTGTTCTTTGTTATTTCTTAGCTATTCTATTTTTGTTATTTGATTAAAAATATGATTAAATATTTAAGGCAGATCTTTATACCACAACCAGACTATTGAAATTTAACTTAAATGTCAGAAACTCTTAAAAGGTGGACACACTAAGCTGCAGACTTTTCTCTGAATAAATTTGATACCTAGGAAAATACAAAAAGAGGTCCATGCTATTACCACTGAGCCCCCATTAAAATTTAAAGGAATCAAGAGAGACATATTTTTATATCAAACTATCAATTTCTTAACTTTTTGACTGTTTACATACATGATTTGTATAGTTGCTTTTTTTCTCTTGTACTAAGAATGAAAAAACATGTTCACTTATGATACAAATACCATAAAATAAGAGTAGTAATGTCTTACTAAACACTCCTAAATGAGGAAAAATTCTATTTAAAAATACTTTCAACAATTTATATTTAAATTATCTGGCACGATAAATCTCATAAAGTAAAATCTAAAAACTTAGTTTTACTTCTTGACCTAGTTTACTTTTTGTTTCTATTACATACACATGAAAGAATCCTTGGGTACAAAAGGAAAGGGCAAAGAAAATGAGGCCAGATAAAAAAGTTAGCTAATAAAGCAGTTTAACTGTTGCATATATGAGCCATGAGTATTTTCTCATTTACCAGAATCTAAGAGTTAACAGCTCTAAGAACTACTTTCTGGCCAGGCACATATCTCTTGATGCACCAAAATCCCTGTGAGCATCTCAAACCACACTTAGTGGTTATCTACTAATATGTCACTAAAAACAAAACAACTGGAAAGTAACCGATCTTAAATTTAAATTTTAAAATGACTATACAAACACCGATTGGACATGGTGTCCGCAGCACAAAAAATCATTTCTTTTTCTAAAACGAAAAACAAAAAACAAAAAACAGGCCAGCATAATAAAAGCTCTAAGAGGAATTGGGTTATGCTTTGTTTCCTACACTGCCTCCACCTTTGATGGTGGAAAGGCCTTGCAGGCAAACATTCCTACCACTGAAGAGTGAGGGACATGGAATACCTTTTGTTTTACCTCTTCCATGCTCTCCATGTGGGAGAAGCCTACAGCTCTGGAAGGAACTGGGAAAAACAACTCTGATATGGTTTGGATATTTCCCCCCCCCTCCAAATCTCATGTTAAAATGTGACCCTTAAATATTGGAGACAGGACCTAGTGGGAGGTGTTTGGGTAATGGCGGTGGATTCCTTATGAATGGCTTGGTGCCATACCCATGGTAATAAGCAAATTCTCATTCTGGTAGTTTAAAAGAGTGTGACACCTTCCCTCTACCTGCTTCTCCCTCCCTCTCTCACCACGTGGAACCACCTCCTTCCCCTTTGCCTTCCATCATGATTGTAAGTTTGCTGAGGCCCTCACCAGAAGCAGATGTTGAAGCCATGTTTGTACAGCCTGAAGATCTATGAGCCGATTAAACCTATTTTTGTTATAAATTACCCAGCCGTAGGTACCTCTTTATAGTAATGCAAAAATGAACACAAATTCTAACCAGAAATACCTGACTCAAGACAGGCAAAGTGTACTTAAACTACAAAAAGAAAGATTACAAACTCCCCTATTTTACTGTGCTGCATTACTTCCCATTTTATTATAGATCCTCACTTGTATTCTTGCTGCTTAAATCAAATGGAAAACTTGGCTGTGTATGGCTTTTTAGCAAACAAATGAGGATTTAACATAACATTAAGGAAAATAAGCAGAAGTAGGGCATGTTTAAAATTACATTACATCAGATGAAAAGGTTAATAACTTAAAAGTTTCGGGAAGCATAAACTTGGATGTGATAAACTCATGTGATCAGGAGACTGTGCAAGAGGAGGCCAAAATCACAGATTCAATCTCTGTTGATGAGTAACTATGTCTTTTTATTTGTTTAAATGGAAACCAAGCTGAAGCCTAAGTTCTATCTTTAAAATGTACTCTTTGGAGCAAGGCAGAAGGGGCAAAGAATTATAAATAAAGATAAATCTATGACTCCTCCATCACATGACAAATTGTGTTGATAAAAAGATGGCAAAATGTGGAGAGAAAAAGTTTACATGATTTAATTGACACAGTAACAATTAAGAAAACGTATATAACACATTAAAATAAGACAAGTAAATATGTGAAAAGTTGAAAAAATCAAACCAATACGAGTCTCTAAATACTTTCTATAATACATCTGATCAAACAACAAGAGTTTTCACTATTTTTCTTGGCAGAAAAGACAATGTTGTCTCACCATCTGTTGGAGATTTTCTCAGAAATATTGTGCTTGCCTCTGGATGGTCAGAAGGGTTGGACTCCAAAGGTATATCTATAGAGGGAGAGAAGAAAAAAAGATGTGATCATTTATAAAAATATATCAACTCATTTATTTGACTGCTGCATTTAGGCTATTTACCTACCTCTACTTTTATTCTCATCCACTGAAATGAATGTATAGACATAAGATGAAGCCAGGCAAGATGGCACATGCCTGTAGTCCCAGCTACTCAGGAGGCTGAGATGGGAAAATCCCATGAGCCCAGGTCAGGAATTTGAGGCCAGCATGGGTAACATAGTGAGACCCGACTTTATTTAAAAAAAAAAAATGGCAGAGCAAGATGGCCGAATAGGAACAGCTCCAGTCTCCAACTCCCAGCACGAGTGACACAGAAGACAGGTGATTTCTGCATTTTCAACTGAGGTACTCGGTTCATCTTATTAGGGAGTGTGGGACAGTGGGTGCTGGTCAGCTGCTGCAGTCCGACCAGCGAGAGCTGAAGCAGGGAGAGGCACTGCCTCACCTGGGAAGCTCAAGGGGGAAGGGAATCCCTTTTCCTAGCCAGGGGAACTGAGACACACAACACCTGGAAAATCGGGTAACACCCACCCCAATACTGTGATCTACCAAGGATCTTAGCAAACGGGCACACCAGGAGATTATATCCCACACCTGGCTGGGAGGGTCCCATGCCCATGGAGCCTCCCTCATTGCTGGCACAGCAGTCTGCGATCTCCTGGCAAGGCAGCAGCAAGGCTGGGGGAGGGGCGCCCGCCATTGCTGACGCTTAAGTAGATAAACAAAGCCGCTGGGAAGCTCCAACTGGGTGGAGCTCACAGCAGCTCAAGGAGTCCTGTTTGTCTCTGTAGACTCCACCTCTGGGGACAGGGCACAGCTAAACAACAACAACAATAAAAAAAAAAAAAAAGCAGCTGAAACCTCTGCAGACGCAAATGACTCTGACAGCTTTGAAGAGAGCAACGGATCTCCCAATACGGAGGTTGAGATCTGAGAACGGAGAGACTGCCAGCTCAGGTGGGTCCCTGATTGACCCCTGAGTAGCCTAACTGGGAGACACACCCCAGTAGGGGCAGACCGACACCCCACACCTCACAGGGTGGAGTATACCCCTGAGAGGAAGCTTCCAAAGCAAGAATCAGATAGGTACACTCGCTGTTCAGAAATATTCTATCTTTTGCAGCCTCTGCTGCTGATACCCAGGCAAACAGGGTCTGGAGTGGACCTCAAGCAATCTCCAACAGA